GGCCTTATATAATATATGTGAAACAAGATGATAAGATTGTAAAGATGGCAGAGAAAGAACATAATATAACAGCCATTCAAATATAAAAAAAATGAAAGAAAGAGGTATTGGGCTTAATGTATAAACAGTAAGGTGATATCTTCGTAAGTCTAGAGGAAAATTTAGTAATAAAATTTCTAAACCTTTACTTAAAGAAGACCATCAAAAGAAAAGGTTGCAATAGGCAAAAAAACATAAGAATTTTGATTGAAATCGAGTTGTTTTTACAGATGAGAGTATATTTCAATTATATACATCAAAAAAAAGGTTTAGCAGTTTTCTGATAAAAAAAAAGTGTTTTATTCTGTTAAGCATCCACCAAAAGTTTATATTTGGAGATGTTTTTCTGCTTCTGGATTTGATAAGCTATTTTGCTTTTAGAGGAACCTTAATACCGAATTTATGTGTACTATTTATGAGCAGAATCTTCTAGCTTTTACTTCTAAACTTTTTAGTGAAAGTAACATAGATTGGATCTTGTAAGAAGATAATAATCCAAAGCATTAATCCAAAGTATTGATCAAAAATCATGAAAAAATAGAAGGAAGAAAATAGCATTGAGATACTTTCTTGGCTATCAATGTCTCTAGACTAAAATCCTATAGAAAATGTTTAAAGGTTAATGAAAATTAATATATAAAAAAAAAATTGATTAATTAGAGGGTTAAAAGAAGAACTTACAAAAAATGGAATCAATTATCATCTGTATTTACCACAAATTTGGTAGCTAGCATGAAAAGGAGTATAGCTGCACTTATAGAGTCAAATAATGATTACACAATATATTAATTTTAGTTAGTTGGTTATGTATTTTTTAAATAAAAAAAATTTTTGAATTTACTTACTTATAGCCAGAGTTAGAATTGATCAGATATTTATAATCGCTATTGTATCATATTTACATTCTGAAGAAATTTAACAAATAAATTTTTAGAAATTTTACATAAATTTAATCTTTTAGCTAAAGTATATAAATTAATTAAAAGTAATTTTTATATTTATATTTTAATAATTTATATTTTAATTTTAAATTTTAACAATTATATGTAATAATATATCAAATATAAATAAAATATTAAAAAGAAATTTTTTTAAGTTTAAATAAATAAAATATTGAGTTTGATCTATATCATTAACATATTAGATATTTTATATATATTATTAATATAGATATACAAAAGATACTTAAAAATCTTCATGTATTAGATTTAAATAATAAAAGTATTTTAAATGAAGAAATAGAAATTGATGAACAGTTAAAAAATATTATATATAAAGTAAGTTTTTTATTTTTTAATAAAAAGTAATTTTAAAAGTAATTTTTATTAATAATAATTAAATTATTTAATTGCTGATCTGTCTAAGATTGGCACTATATATCAATCATTTTATAATAAAATTTAGGGATAATAAACGATAATAAAAAAAGCTGTTTTTTATATCTCATATGCATACTATATTTCCACCCATAATATAATGACAAAACAATGCAAAATAAATATTAGTCTTATATCACTAGGTGTGCTTGTTGAAAAACACCATTATGGTCCATATTCTCGCTATTAGTGGCAACCTTTACCTAATTCTGAGGAAATTACAACTTATTTTCCTATTCGAGTGAAGCAAACAATTAAAGCAACGCTCAACAATTGTAAATTTATTATTACAGTAGTTGTTAACAATAAAGACAATAATATCTTTTTACTGGGTTATATGTGTCAATGTAATAAAATTATAGGAATTACAAATGATCTGACTAATGCTATTTCTGAAGTTTATTCAAAAATCTTTGCAACGAAAATTCGCTATTCTGGTTCATTAATAATGGGATGGAATGACGAAAATATAGTAAATGAATTGAATAAAGATATTCCTTTTACTCCTCATTCCTTTTTACTTGAAAAAATAAAAGTATTTGTATATGGGGTGGGATATTCAACAAATATGGATTGGCATTGTACTGGACTGGGATATAAATCTTCACTTCTTCATAAATTTGGAGATAAACAGGCATTGTTTGTTTCTAAAATCGAAGAAACTTTATGTACTGTTAAAATTTATCAAGATCAAAAACTTCAAACTACATATGTGAGTAACAATCCAATTGACGTGTAGAAAAATTTAGAATTTATAAAAAAATTCAATAGGAATCAACTTTTTGGTATTGACAATCACATAATAAAATCTCTAAATAAAAAACAAAAAAAACCAACATGTTTACCTCAAGAGTGGAAAGATGATTCTATTATAAAATCACTTTTTGATTTTCATCTAAAACGAAGAATAATTGTGAATATTAATTGGTATCAGTTATTTATAAAATAGGATAAACAAGAAAGTCCTCTAATTGAACTAAACAATGAATTACATAATATATATCCTGAAAATCATCAATTTAGTATATGCGAAAAAAGTGCATAGCAGACCTTTCTTCATGCTGCTGGTGCTAATAATGTAACTCCTTAGCCATGTGAAGAACAGGTATTATTGAAAGATTTCTAATAAAAAAATCGTAAATTAATTATTGTAATAATAAATTTTATTTTTAGTATCAATTTTGGTCAAAATCTAACCATCTGAAACAAGATCATGCATTACTTACCCAATTATATCAAATGAAATTTCTTGTCAAGGATATTTCAACATCTATTAAAAATTCAACTTCAACTTTTTGGTAATGCTTTAATTGTACATTAGAGAATAACAAAAAAAATCAAGATGGAAAATGTCGTGTATTATCAATTATTGCAATGACTTTACTTATAAAGAATTACAAGAAAATTTAGGTGTAAGTAATTTGTAATATGTTAGTAATTATCAAAATAATTTACTAAAAACAATTCAATAATTCTTTGATAAAGGTTGGATAACATACCATTTTAGAATCACGTGAACATGCGTGAATAAGTGGTTATGATGCATCTCCATTGAATAAACCAAGTTTTTGCCGAATAAAATTTACTACTGAATAGTTGCAGCAATTTGAATTATTTTTTTCTACAAAAGAACACGTTAATATGAGTTCTTATAAAACTGATAATATTAGTGGATTGCTTGTATTATACTTACAAGATCATAAAAAAGCATTATAGAATAAATTTCATGAACAATATCCAAATGGAATGCAAAGAACATCTTTTATGGTAAGATTAGATGAAAAGCGCTTTGTGTACAAAGAAAATTTAGGTGGGCTTTGTTCAAAATGCAATGAATATGGATATCAAGTATTTGCAAATATTGAAGAATTAATAAATGTCAATATTACAAACCTAGTATTTTGGGTAAGATTTTGATAATTTAAATATCTGTTAATTCAATAATATTCTTATTTTAGTTATTTTTTTTCTTATAATAGAATGAATTAGTTGCTACTGCTCAAAGTTTATGACGTTACCTTAGAAAGATTATCCTAAAAAATTGAATGTAACAAAAAATGGAATTGCAATACATAATTCTTGTATATCACATTGCCTTCCATATGCATTTGATAATTGTCAAGAAATGCATTTTAATACATGCGTGGATTGTGAAAGTCTCTTTATTTTTTTCAAAAATTTGAAAAATCATTTACCATCAAATCTACATAAAAATCTTGATGAATATCAAAAAAAATTGATTTCATTTATGTCCATCATGCTCATAAAGTATACCTAAATGCACAATTATCTTCTATTCTTTTCCAACTTGATTCTGATGAAGCTTTGATTATTGTGGATTATAAAATGTGTATTAATCCTAAAAAAGCAAGAGAAATAAAGGATGAATGGTTTGGCAAACGTGGATGGACTTTGCATTCTGTTTTATTATATACTAAAAATCAAAATACCAACAATTTCAATGTCAATGCTTTTGATCATTGGAGTGGAGATACCAAATAAGATGCTTGGTTTACAGCATCTTCTCTACATAGAGTAATTGAAACACTTGAAAAAAAACCTAAATTTGTAACCATTATATCTGATAATGGTAGACATTATCATAATACAGAACTAATGATAATATTATCACATTAGAAAGAATGGTACGATGTTTGTATTAAAAAGTGGATTTTTTTGGAAGCTAGTGAAGCAAAAACAGCAATAAACTCATATTATGCTCAAGTAAGTAATTTACTTTACCTTTTTTTATGATGTATTGTAATGTAATCAAAAATTTTCTGTTGAGATTACACATGCTATCAACCGGTATGTTAAACTTGGTTATGAGATTGCTTCTGGTAAAGATATTGAAATGGTAATCAAAGATCTATCTAGTACCCATGTGGCAAATCTTTAACCTAATTGAGAGCAAGGCAAATATATCATATAATATATTGCATGATAATACTAAATTTTGAAATTTAACTAATGTTTTTTATAATTTATAGAAAATAACGTTAGAACAAGACAAAAAATGGGAACAATTGCAGGAATTCGTAATTGGAATGAATTTATCTGGGTATATGATGGTAAAGAAGTTGGCTACATTTATGCATGACCTTTGCCAAAATTTGGAGAATTGAACAAGTTTTCCCCTAATAAAATTCAAAAAATTGTTAAAAATCGAACAATTACCAAACCTAATCCTATTATTTTAATGCATTCAAATCCCCTAAAACCATGGACTGTATCAGGAACTGATCATCAAAGTATTGAAGTATTCTTTACATCAATATCTAAATGATATTAAAAAATTCTAAATGCCACTTTATATAATATTCAAGATACTATTGATAAAAATTTAGAGGATTTGACAAATGAATTAGTAAGTTGTGAAATAAATGATTTTAATTGATAAAAAAAAAATAACAAAATATATTGTATAATACAGGAATATATGGATATAACGAATGAAGCAGAAGTAAATTTGAAATGCAAAGAGTATGGTAATTCATAATAAGAAATCGAATACCAATTTTAAATAAACTCACCAGCAATTATTATTATTTAGTTGGGAAGTTTTTATTTCTAGAATCAGTAAAACGAATCCCTATACATATCAAGCAACTTTTTGAAACAATGTTTCATATAGAAACTGCAAACCCAAGAAATAAAATGATAGCTGCAGAGATGCGAAGTGAATTGATACAACAAGTACAAGAAGAAGAAATAGAGGAGGAAAATATACCAAAGAAATCTACTATTGCAAATTAGATTACTTCTTTTTCACGAGACTAAAAATATGCAATAGCACTTCAAGCAATTAAAGCAGCAGAATATACCTTGAACGCAAGAGAGTCTTTGGAAACAAGTTAAAAGACCAAATTGTGCTTGTTTTTTATGTAAATAATATAATAAAGTATAGTAAAATAATGGAATTTTATTTTATTCAAAACGTAAATCTGACGCGCCCATAGAAAAGTTGTTATTTTACATATAAACGTATAATTTTTTTTGTCAGATTCAGTTTTTTTGAGTATTTTTTTAGTATATCATGTGTCAATTATTTAAAGTTTGTGCATTATTTATGAAATATCCTTTTTGGAAGTTTGTGTATCAGTATTAGATCGGCAAATTTAATCCTAATTTTCTATATGAGAATAGTGCCAATCTTAGCCAGATTGGTGATTAATATATTATTTAGCTTAGAAAATTAATAGTAAAAATTCATGCTTCACCTTAACAACGTGAAAGTTTTTCTCAACAATGTATTGCATTAAACTTCAAAAATTAGAATTAATAATAGATATTAAAACTCATTAGAATTTTACAAAAATGATGTTAGAAAGAGTTATTTTACTTAAAAATGCTCTTAATAAAATAGCATCAGCTGATAAAGACCTTAATAAATATATACTTTCAGATGATAAATGGGACAATATTAAAAATATACAAAAATTTTTACAGGTTTATAATTTATTAATAAAGAATTTTTAATTTAAATTTATTTTAAATATTTAACAAATATTTTTTTATTTGGCTTTTTAAAAAAGGATCAGATTTTATTACTAGTCAATTATATCCTATACTTTTATATAGTATTTTAATTTATAATTATTTAATAGATAAAATTGAAGATATAATTGATAATAATATTAATAGATTGAAAATTAAATATGCAGCTAAATTGGCAAAGGATAAAATATTAGAATATTCTCTATTAACAGATAGAACTAATTATATTATTATTATAGATTAGTTACTTTATAAAATTAAATAAATTAATATTATATTATTTTATTATTAATTATTATTTATAATTAATTAGTAATAGATTTATAATTAAAATTACAATATTATGAAACTAATAATTGGAAAAGATATTATATTAATGAAGCAAAAAATATTATAATAACTATTTAGAAAAAAAAATATATAATATTGCAGATGCTAATATTTCTTCTGATAATTTAGAAGATGATATTCTTAATCATGTATTTATAAAAAAAAAAATATCATAAAGATGAGCTTAAAGTTTATCTTAAAGAACTACTTATATAAAATAAAACAGATATTTTATTATAATGGAAAGTAATTATAATATTGTCATCAGGTTCGTTTTTATTTATCTTAAGATCTAAGTTGAAAGGCTGTGGCAGCTGATTCTACACGTTAGAGTTTCTGACCTTAGGATTTTCTTTAAGTCATACAGGTATTTGTTATACTTGAATCAACTCAGTAATTTATCACGTCTTAGAATTTAAGATATATTAGTTGAACTCATAATGATGAACTTAATAGCAAGTTAATGTAGGGTATTACAACAATCCTAGATGAAGGACAACATTGAAGGGAAAAGTAATTTGTGTAAATTTAAATTGATTCCTTTATTTATAACTTGAAACTCGCAGAAGAGTTTATAAACTTACAATTGAGTTAATTTACAATTTAAGCAAAAAGCTATTCTATTTATACAAAATGACTTTGCTACAGCTAGCTACTTGCTATACTATAAATTAACTAAATATAGATATATATTTTAATAAAAATATACTTAAATATAATAAAATAATA